ACCCTGAGCGTCTTCAATAATGCAACATCAAACAAGTTGAGGTAAGCAAAGAAGCGCGAGAGGTGAAGATGTGAGGATGTGAAGATGAGCAGAGATGTACATGTGCAGATGTGAACATGAGCAAAGATGTAGATGTGAGGATGTGAAGATGAGCAGAGATGTAGATGTGCAGATGAGCAGAGAGCAGATGAGCAGAGATATAAGTGAGAATGTGAATGTACAGAGGTGAAGATGTGAAGATGTATTCTGCAAATGTTTTTTTTACGAAGAACCCTTCGCAGGCGCTCTCGGGAAAAACGTCACTGCAGTGATTTTCATGACATCAAAAATCTCGGGCCAAAGCAATTAACACCTTCTTCCGCCAAGTCACGATCAAGTTTCTGAAACTGTTCCAGGAGCTGGCGCATGGCATGCAACGTGTTGGCCTCTGGCCGTGGAGATTGCAAGTGCGAGGAAGACGTCCAGTCTTCCACGAATCCATGAACACACTACTTTATCAACCTTTGAACACATCCAAGGTAAACCTTGGTACAAAAGCTGGTGCCTGCCTCTCCCAGGCGGATTGTCAGTTCTTCGATCACTTGATGCTTGTCTGCACAGCCGATCAAACCTTGCCTTAAGCGCATCTAGCCGCAAACAACATTGAGAAATATTGAGAACATACATAGTTTGGGCAATCTCAACACAGAAATAACTCTTACTTGGCCTCTTGCCCTGCTCTTACTTTGGCTTAAAGCGGCTCACAAAGCCAGGGCACAAAGAGCTTGCTGGAAGATCCACGTCGCTGCTGCCGTGGAACCACTCGTGGTTTGCCGCTTGCAATGCTCTTGGCCTGGAATCGGTTCGCATTTCTATACAGGAAAGGAACAAATTGACACCAACAAATTCATCCCCGTGTGAATTACAGGGTGGACGTTGGGGCCCCCCATTCTACAGGTACAAAACGGCCGTGCCTGCTCCAGGTCTACAGAATAGCTGAACTGAGGCCCCCGCCAGTCTACAGAATCAGTGGCCTTCTGAAATGAGGCACGACGTCCCAGGGCAGAACATCTTACCATCTACAAAATACAAGGCTATAGATACAGTTTACTTCACACATCGTCCATGTCTAGAATATCGAAGGCCTCGACGTTACCCAGAACAGGTTAAAAAATACTAGAATTTCGTTTTGTAAGGGCCTCAAGGCCCACTTATCTGTAGGGGAAATTCACACGGGGATACAAATTCTGCTTTGTTAACTCTTCGCATTCCTATGCAATTCTATTTTATTCAAGTTCGGTGCAGTGCGACCGGTTTTCCAGGGCTTTGAACCAAGCAAGCGCCCGGCCTATGGCTTCTGTCTCGCAGCGTCATGAGCTCAATGATGTCTTGCAGCAAAGGCATGTTCCCTGGAAACCTGCATGGCACAGCTGCGGAGGACGTGTACGTCTGAGTCACAAGTCTGTAAGCCCAAATGCCAACTGTGCTATTTCCCAATGGCCCAATGGTCGCACCTTTCCCAAGGCAATGGCCTTGGTGTGCCAATGGTCAACACAGCCAAACAAAGTCGTAAGCGGCTTACGACAAAAATATGTAGACTAACCTTCGAACAGAACAGGTACAGTACCAAACTTCGTCTGTCTGAAGGACAAAACAATGCCAACAACTCTTCACACACAAGTGCATATTATAAAAAATATATACATACAAATATATCAAAACCTGTTCAGCGTGGTCCAGCATCACGCCCAGCACGCTTCACATTTTTGTTTCATCGCAATGAAAGCTAATTGCTGAACATGTCAAACAGCGATTTGGCCCTGACTCCAACGGCGAAGCTTTCTCGCCAATCTCTCGAACAAAGTTGTTACGAGTTGCGTGCACAAGCATGAGGAAGATCAGTCCAGCATCATAAAGTCTCCGCTCTATTCTGCTCTATGTTCTAGGAGATTGACGAGAAATCAAGCACGCATCAATACAATGTACAGCATTCAGAGCTTCTTCGAACAAGGAAATCAATTGCGGGAAGTTGCCACCCTGCTGCGCGGAAGACAGCTTGCATTGCCAAACCTGTGATGGAGAGGGGCATATCTTCCCCCCCGAGCTATATAAGCATTTTGAATGACACGTCTACACTAGCGCATCTGGTATCGTTGGGTTATACCTGCTTGGCAAGCAGCAGCCTCTCCGTCCAGGCCTTTTGCTTGGGCAAATCGGGCCTGACAGGTGATTGCTGATCAAATCTGTATCTGCTGAAAAAGGTGAGTATGCTAATGGACATCTGCCCCCCAAGGCTGAGTGATTCTACGCAGGGTACTCTCTCCGACTCGGCGAAGTCAAGATAGCAAGGGCTGTCCTTTGGAGTCACCTGAAACTGCTCGGGATGAGTACTGAGGGTGTGCTTGAAGAGACCTTTGCACACCTTGCGCGCTAGTAAAACGATATGAACAGTTCCATCGCCTCACTAGCAAACATCATTTCAATAGCCTTCAAACAGTTGTGAGATACTGAGTGTGTGCAATATGCATTGCAATGGCTGTGATCTTTTTTTTTTCTCTCTCTCTCTCTCTCGCGCTTTACAGAGTCTGACTGAAGCCCCACAGGGACACTCAAACGACAGTGAAAAAATGGCCGCGATATCTATTCAATTAGCCCAGCTGGAGACCCCAATAGCAAGATACAAACCGGGACAAAAAGAAACATCTGGAAACAGCTGCTGTTTTCAACACATCGACCATCTCTTCCTTGGACACCATCATCACATAACCGGGACACCATCACAAAATGACCAGGGCACCATGAAAACATGACCGAGACACCGTCACAACATGATTGGGACACCAACACAACATGATTGGGACACCATCACAAGGTGACCGGGACGCCAGCATGACATGACGGGGACACCATCACAACATGACCGGGACACTATCACAGCATGACCAGGGCACCATCAAAACATGACCGAGACACCGTCACAACATGATTGGGACACAAACAACATAACCGGGACACCATCACAAGGTGACCGGGACACTATCACAACATGACCGGGACACCGTCACATGACCCGGACACCATCAAAACATAACCGGCACACCGCCAAAACATGACCAGGACACCATCACAACATGACCGGGACACCATCAAAACATGACCGGGACACCGTCACAACATGAGCGAGACACCATCACACCATGGGACACCGTCACAACACGACTGGGACACAATCACAACATGACCGGGACACACCATCACAAGGTGACCCGGACACCAACATGACATGACGGGAAAACCATCACAAGATGACCAGGACACCATCACAACATGACCGGGACACCGTCACATGACCCGGACACCGTCACAACAGGACCGGGACACCATCAAAACATGACCGGGACACCGTCACAACATTCGACCGGGACACCATCAAAACATGACCGGGACACCATCACAACATGACCGGGACACCATCAAAACATGACCCGGACACCATCAAAACAGGACCGGGACACCATCACAACATGACCGGGACACAATCAAAACATGATCGGGACACCAACACAACATGACCGCGCATCACAACATGTCCGCGCCACCATCACATGATCGGGACACCATCACAACATGACCGGGACACCGTCACAACATGACTGGGACACAATCACAACATGACCGGGCCACCATCACAAGGTGACCGGGACACCAACATGACATGACGGGAAAAGCATCACAAGATGACCAGGACACCATCACAACATGACCGGGACACCGTCACATGACCCGGACACCATCAAAACATAACCGGCACACCGCCAAAACATGACCAGGACACCATCACAACAGGACCGGGACACCATCAAAACATGACCGGGACACCGTCACAACACGACCGGGACACCATCAAAACATGACCGGGACACCATCACAACATGACCGGGACACCATCAAACATGACCGGGACACCATCAAAACAGGACCGGGACACCATCACAACATGACTGGGACACAATCAAAACATGATCCGGACACCATCACAACATGACCGCGCCACCATCACATGATCGGGGATCGGGACACCATCAAAACATGACCGGGACACCGTCACAACATGACTGGGACACAATCACAACATGACCGGAACACCATCACAAGGTGACCGGGACACCAACGTGACATGACGGGAAAACCATCACAAGATGACCAGGACACCATCACAACATGACCGGGACACCATCACATGACCCGGACACCATCAAAACATGACCGGGACACCGTCACAACACGACCGGGACACCATCAAAACATGACCGAGACACCGTCGCAACACGACCGGGACACCATCAAAACATGACCGGGACACCATCACAACATAACCGGGACACCATCAAAACATGTCCGGGACACCATTACGACATAACCGGGACACCATCAAAACATGTCCGGGACACCATCAAAACAGGACCGGGACACCATCACAACATGACTGGGACACAATCAAAACATGATCGGGACACCATCACAACATGACCGGGACACCGTCACAACACGACCGGGACACCATCAAAACATGACCGGGACACCATCACAACATGACCGGGACACCATCACATGACCGGGACACCATCAAAACATGACCGGGACACCATCACAACATGACCGGGACACCATCAAAACAGGACTGGGACACCATCAAAACACGACCGGGACACCATCACAACATGACCGGGATACCATCCGCCCACCAGCTCTGACGGTGACCCGACGGCGCCCGTCCGCCTATTAGTTTTGCAAGACCCCATAGCATGGCTATTGGGGAAAAAAGTGGCTTCAATGCAATCGAGTGCAATGCCTAAAACGGTGTGGACGACATTTAGGGCATGCATCGGCATCCCGACCCTTCTGCTGAGCAATCCATTTAACAAACTGTGAACACGAAGCACCAACTGCAACTGAAACAAAAGACACACCGACTATCGGAAGGCAAGCAACCGGCTATGGCCTTTGAAGGCCGCCTCGAGTCGGGGTTCTGGAAGCCGCCCGTTTAGTAGAGGAAATGGTCATCCACAGGGCCATTTTCCAATTCCATGATCATTTCAGGGAGTAAGTAGATATGATGCTACAATTGCAATCTGCAAAAACAGTCAGTGGTGCCAACTGAGTCACCTATCCCTTGGAACTCTCATGTAGTACTGTATACACAATACATATACAGCATACATGATCTGACAGCATGATATTATACGGCACGTCTCCCCTTGATCATCTTGTCATTCCTCTCTTAGAAAGCCTGGCCCAGCATTACCATAATTAAAGAACAACAAATGCTGCATGAAGGTTCGTGTTAGTATTCACCTTGAGCCAAGGCTCCTCTCTGGCGCCGTATTGAGCTTTGAGGGCACCTCGTGTCGAGATCTGCACTTCCTGAAATAGACTCTGCGTGGGCCAAAGGGAGTGCCCCAAACACAAATATCAAATCAGTAAAACAAAGGAACTAAGTTCTGCTGCACAAACCAGCGGCTTCTAGCTTTCCTCCCATCACCTGGGTTGTAGGCTGGAGTTGGCCAAGGGACCACCGGACCCATCTACTCAGCTAAGTCACCCAAAGCAGCGCACGAAAGCCACTCGCCTCAGTGCATCGCTTCAAAACACATATAGGCACGCTGCAACACTATTGTACATTTGCATTTGCACCCAAAAATTAATTTATGTCGGAGGGACGTTGGAGAGCTGCTCATACTCAATGCCTGAATTTGGAATGCCGATCACGCAAACTGCCCTGCAAGTTCTCCCACCTGTACTCCACAGAAATGCATAACACGGCTGACCGAGGATGCAACAAACAAACCATGAGAAGTTGGTGTACATGTATGTGTACATGGTGAAGAAAGGTGTTGGCTTACTAGTGCCTCAAACTGTTGGTTTAGTTTGTAATGTTTAGTAGCTACGCAGTTACAGTGTACAACCCTTTCGAAGAAATATGAGGGTTTACTTGAGGATCTGATGGGGCGCTGGAAGCCCCAAGCGCTCTCGTTCTTTTGGAGAGGCTTGCAATGGTGCGCCCCCGCTGTCAACTGCATCGCACAACTGCGATCAACAAAAGGTGACACTCACCATGCCAAGGAACGAAGGACAGCCCACATGCTGCGTCGGACAATTTCCACTGATGACATCACAGACACCAAAATCACACGGATAACGATATTTCCTTGGTGTTTAAATCAAGAGGGAATGACATCACCAACCAGCAGGTGTAGTTGTATGTAGGTGTTTCATCTTTCTACCTACCCTTCGGACCTTCGGATCCCTTTGGGCTAAACGTGATGCCTCGACATTGTTAGCAAACCGTAAAACAATGAACATCAATGAACATCCACATGCTTCCGCTCACAGGCGACAAGCTTCCGGTCACCAGACTTGTAGGCATCAAGGTGAAAACCTCAGATGCGATCGCCTGCGATCTAAATATATGCTGCCTGCAACAAACAAACCTTTGATACATCTTGACACCTCTTAGAGACTCTTGTCACTTGCCGAAACAGATCCCCAATCCGCAACTAAGAACATCGCAGTCACTCCAAGCAGCCCATGTTGATCGAGCAACTAAGTCCACCAAGCTGCAAAGCCAATAAACCTGGAGCAGTTCAAAACCTTTGGGAAAGGAGTTGGCACTGCAAAATGGCAAGCCTTGATGGCATTCAGTCGTCGCTAAACTATGTTGTAGGTCTTGTAGTTTGTGTGACTTTTTTAGTTTGGAAGCCTTTCTGGGAAAATGCCGCTGGCGTAGGCCATTCTTCTGAGAAAGCCTTGGCAGGATTTGGCCACCAGTTCAAGCTACGGACTGCAACAGCTGCAACACACTTGTCACCTGGAATTCAAGTCCAATGTGCCCGCACCGCATAACAGCGCTCAAAAGAGTATGTTCAACATGAGTGTACATGAATGTGAAAACTCGAAACCCTCTGCAAACTACCAAGGACAAGGATCCAAGCTCCATTTGGTGTCACCAAAACTTGAATTTGTGTTCAGTAGATATTGGTACTGAGGAGCAACTGCTGCATGTTTGTAAACAAACCCTGGCTAGCTCAACATCAAAGCATCATGAATGTTGACTTGCATCATGCTGAAAGTAAGTGCCAACTAAACTATATGAACATATAGCTAGGGCTATTACATCTGGCTTGTGAAGTCCAAGTGTCTTGGGAGATTCCCCATCAACATTTCGAGCTTCTGCAGAGTTGCCTGGCATCAGCCTCGTGAAAGTGCTCCCAATATGATATACTGTATATAATATGATATATTCAGTCTATTTTTGGCACATGGTGCAGCATTTCAGAATTAGTGATTACAGTACTTGAGATTTGCCTCACCCAGCCTGTAAATGAGGTAGTCTACCTGCCTCTTAGGACATGAAACATTGGCAACTTGAGGGCAGGACTCCCTGGCACCAAGTCCCCAATCGAGTCCGACCTCAACCCAGCTCTTCGCGCAAAACAACACACCAAATGAAACATCCTGAAATTCTGCATATGGCATATAGCTGGATCAAGAACCACGGCACATCCCAAAGAAAAGCATAGACTGTTGCGACGGTGGACACCTAGTCAGGGCGAAAGACAGAAGGACAATAGGACAATACACAGTCATTAATGTAATGAGGTAGTAAAGTTCCTTCACATGAAAGGACACCTTGAGGAAAACAATTATGCCTTGGTGCAAAAACGCCGATTCCAAGGAGCTGAAACCAACATCGCAGTATTGTCCATGCGGGACACAATTACAACGAGCAAGCTGCACAGGTATTTCCCAAGATTCCTCAGAACGGCTGCTAACTTGCCAACAGCGCAGCTAGCTTCCTTGACGTTTTCTGTTTTGGGGGAGGAGTGCAATAAACCGCAGCTGACAATGGAATTCAGGCGTCACGCTGCAAGCTGGGCAAGCAAACCAGCTCGGGCTACGTACAAGTTATCAACTCCTTGGAAAACCAGCAAATCAAATACATTCAAATACCAATATTATATAGCATATCATCCATCAAAGAGGGAGGGCACCTTAAGCCAGCAAAGCTGCCACAAGTGTCTGCACTCCTTCGTATCTCGATAGCGCCGTACGCACTGACCAGCGCGAAAGAAGAACGGCATGCCAGCAAGCAAAGGAACAACCCATCCTTGAGTGACAAAGTGGTGAACAGTTCAATCACATACTAGTGTCACAGTCCCACTCACGAAGCATCCTGTTTGTTGACAAGGTGCTGTGTGTTGTGTCACCTCAGTCACAGGTGAAGGCCCACTCCAACGTGTGATTTCTCCTTTTTTGGTGCCAAGATGGGATCAAATACGTCGCGCGTGTCGCTTGGTTGGACTCTGCTGCCAGGATGCTGCAGGTATCTCCGCTCCTTAATTACTAGCTTCTACACATCATGCAAGTGCTCTGAAGCCCCTCTGAATTGTATTGCTATTGGCAGTATTGGGCATTGTGGGTTCGAGATATTGTCTGCGAGATGCGGCACATGAAACCAAAATGAACCACCAACCAAAGAGTTTGTTGCAAACACTTTCAATTTCGCATGCGTGTTTGAAGAAACCTGGTGGCAACTCTATAGTTGTACATATGGGAACTTGATGCCAAAACTCGTTACGAAGCGCTCTACGAGTTCTTCTTCTTGCGGATGATGAGACAGCAAATAACACACTGCCGCAGGAACATCCTGTCAGCTCGGATCAACAAAAAGGAACAACATTTGCAGGCCAAAAGGAAGAATCCACCACTGGATTCTGACAGCTTCTGCAAGCTCTGACACAAACATGAAAGTTCAGTTTCCCTCAAAATCTGGGAACCAAAAGAATAGCATGAGCTATCCTGCGTCCATACTAGTAGCTTACGAGTAAGGTACTAGTTACCTAGCTACTACCTCTACTAGCGGCCTACCCGCCGGGCTCTTCTTCGGGATTGGAGAATCGTCGAATCGTCTGGTTCTCTCGATGTTCGCCTCTAAGGGCTTCGCAATGCTTGTCCTAAGCTCGTGCTGCAACACCACAGCAGCTCAGCACAGGCACAAACAAACTTTCTGTTGGTGAGCTTTCTCATTCCAGTTTTCCATGAAAACCATGCTCTTGTGGTCCGCAAAAAGACTAAGAACACATAACACATCATAACACCATACACGTGCCTTTTGGACACATCATTGTGAATCAGCTTGTGTTGTGTGAATCCAAGGTGGCCATCCTTCCGAGGGTCATCACATCTCCGACCATGTTGTCGGCAAAGTCCACCGCGAAAAGTGGAGCCAATGCGGTCCGCTTGACCTACTAGCAGTATCTAGCAATGGCCTCCAACCTAATAGCTATGTCAGCTATGTTTTGCGCCTGGTGTGGAAAGCTGGGGAGTGTCTTACAGCTCTTCACGGCTCTTGCTACAGCTGCATCTTGGACAACCGAGGGGTGAGGGAACCACCAGTACGGCCAAATTGCTGCAAAGGCTCTGACCGCAGTACGGCAAGTTTGTACCTGACAAAGCAAGCCAAGTCTGACAAAGCAAAGAACCTCGACAAGAAGCAAAGAACCTTGACAAGCATGTGCTCAGTTTACGCATGTCTGAGCCCCAAAGGAGCTGGACAGCTCTAAAGTTTCAATTGATGTGTGGCTGTTTCCAGGAACCCTCAAAAACCAGGCCTTTGACGGCAAATGGTCGAAGGCGCCAGGCTTCCAACAATGGTGAGCAGGAGGAGCAACACAGGATACAAGACCTAACTCACCCACTGAGTGGGGGAGCAGGGAAGGTTGAAGCCTTACGGTGTGGGCGTGTAGGAACACCCAAAGCCTTCCGTGCTGGGGTTGGACCCAGGTGGTGTCAAATACACCAGGTGCCGATGGGCTCACGATGCGACACCCTTCGGAGCATGTCTGCATTAGGGGCAAGCAGGATTTGGGCTAGATATATAGTATATAGCAACCATTGCTGTAGCAACCAGTCCCTGACGGGTTTCACTTCGGGGCTGTTTGCAAAGGGGACGCGGTCCTCAGAAAACGATTTGATACGATTTGGGTACTGTACTTGTTCAAAGTCCCTGGGTTGTCTTTCTGACAAGCTTCTGCTCTATCTGGCATTAATTATGTGGGTTCCGCGAGTCTTTATGTTACAACTTCTGATAATTTCTGGGATGCTTCCAATCCACTACTGTATATACCCGACAAATCAATATATATATATATATATGTATAATTGATACCCCCAACTACAAGCAAGGGACCCCAGAAACCTCATTGTAGACCCTAAAACTGGGGGTCTTTTATGGTTTTCCTAGGGAGCCTACGTAGGCAACAGCAAAGGTTCTAGACCACCCCCTAGGACCGCGTAGTGGGGTCTTAAATGGTGTCCGTGGGTTCTGGTTAGGACTCCCAACTCGTCAAGCACCACCAAACTCCGGCTCAAGTCAGGTTCATCGCTAGTCGGTCTAGCTGCAGTGACCTGCCTGACCTATCCTGACCTCACAAAAAAAGTTTCGCGCTCGGTTGGGATGAGCTCTCCAACTCTATTTGACCCACTTGACCCACAGGTGACCATACATGTCAAGTGGACACTTCATCCTAACACACCTTCACAAAAACCACCAGCAGCTTTCCAAAGGAGAGGCAACGCCAGTGAACCAAATGAAAAACAAATATCAAATTTTTGCTGTTTGACGGCGGGTTCAGGCACTAGGGTCTAAAGTATTGTTCCTGGTGACCTGTACAATCTTTAATACATTTTAGACCTTCAGCTGCTTTCCACCAATATCTGAGAACTGGATCAGTATGGAGGACATTCATGGGCATTCACCTGATGATTTACCGAAGGGGTCTGAAGAAGTTGTTCTCATTGCCTATGCAATCTTTAAGACGTAGGGGGTCCAGGGAGACCATTTTAGAACACCAGCAGCTTTCCAAAGGAGAGGCAACACCAGTGAACCAAATGAAAAGGATTTCAATTTTTTGCTGCTTGACAGCGGGTTCAGGCACTAAAGTATTGTTCCTGGTGACCTGTGCAATCTTTAATACACAGGAGCTCTGAGGAATCCATTTTAGACCTTCAGCTGCTTTCCACCAATATCTGAGAACTGGATCAGTATGGAGGACATTCATGGGCATTCACCTGATGATTTACCGAAGGGGTCTGAAGAGTTTTGATTCCTGGTGAGTTTTGACATAGCATCCTGGTGGGTAGTTTGATTCCTTGCGCGTGTGTTTTGAGATAGCATCCTGGTGGGCACATCATTGTCATTCGTCTCCATTGGTCGATTGTCGAACCAAAATTGCTCTATACCAAAATGAAATCTGAAAGCATTTAAAGGTGACAAGTCTGAAAAGTTGAAAAGGTCTAAAATGCTCAACGATTTAGGGTCTACTATGCACACAGTGAGTATCCTAGACCCTATGCCTGGAAGTACATAGAGCCCCTCCCATCCTAGACCTTTAGTAGTTGGGGGGTATTAATTGATTATTTATAATTGTACCTTTCGGTCATGTGTGATTATTTTCGAGTGGCTATATTGAAGAGCAAGCGATGAGCATGTCAATGTCTAGTCTAGCTGACTGGGCTGGCTGCATGCGTGTAAATGGACAAGCAAGCAAAACAACACAACAGTTGAAGTTGATCCTTGCGGCCTGGCAGCAAAGTGAAAGGATGCGCGCTTGTTGTAGCCTTCTCGGGCCCAAACTGTTGGCAAGATCTTCCATTTGTAGTCAACAACGTACATACCTTGACATCCCCAGCTCCAATGACTGAACAACAGTATGCCTTTTTGAGGACTGTCGTGGCATTCCTAGCCGAGGTGCCAAAAATCAAAATCCAAAGGGTTGTGAGTGTCGCTGCTCGTGCAAAAAAGAACTCTGGCGTCACCCGACAGCGAGGGTCCACATTGAGAATGAACATATGATTGACATCAGACCTTGGATGCTTGTCTGGCAAACTCTCATGCAACATAAGCACCGTCATGAATCCCTGTCCTAGTCACGCTGCCATCCGTACGCAAACAAAATTGAACACAGGCTTACAAAGTACCTCAGTTCATGGATGCAAATGGATGCAAATGGTGCTATCAGTCGGTACTCAACCTTGTTGATGAAGCTGCGGGCAGGTTGCTGGTCACAAATCTTTGCAACGGCGCCCATGCACCACAGTATCAAGAGAAAAGAGAAAACCTGAGCCACGCAGCCTCGAGATTCTTTGGGGCACAGAGCAACAAGATCAACAAATGCATCTTGGATGCCCCTGTGATTCGAATGTTGGCCAAGGTGCTACACGAAACACTGGAATGGGTGTAAGGAAATAGGCCTTCAAAAAGCTCAAGGGCCAAAACAGTTGCCGGCAAGCACTTGACTGGTCTTCAAGTCTGAACAGTTTTCCGCTTACCTGCTCAGTGAGTAGATTGAAATGACACCAAACTCTGCAGCAGCTTTAGAAAAACAAAGTGCTGATTGCCGCAGCAGCAGCTTTACAAACCCAACCACCCACCTGCCTCGGAGAAGGTCTTAGGGCCTCCGAAGAGCTGGGGGCTGGCAGTCAATATTTCAAGCAGTTGGTTGCAACATGTTGGGTAGTAAGCGGGGCAGGTTAGCCGGAAAGCAACATGCGCAGGGCTAGAAAACTATGCGATTTACAGTTATTTTGTTATTTTTTGTTGCCTTTCGGGCCACTCACCTCACCTTATCGTCTTGGAGTTGATGAACTCCAAGACAATGACTTGAGTGGATTTTCGCAAGAACCCACAAAGCTCTCCATAAGAAAGGTGTAAAAAACATGCAGTTTCGATGAACGTGAGCATTTCAATCATCGAACAAGACCAGCCGAAAATCGACGAGACGATCAAAACGTAAGGGTGACCGACAGGTTCACAATAAAACCTCCTGAACAAATGACACAGTCGGATCGGAGACACGGGAGCAAGCATCAATGTGGGCATCCCAAAAAAAGGGATCAGCCGCACAAAAATCGTTCTGATTGGGGGAAGGGCACTTCAAGCCGGACAAACGCAACAAAAAACGACAAAACACAAACAAACCTCAAACGTGGAGCCCACCGTGTCCTCCAAGCCGAAAGTGCAACGCGAGTGTCGAGTTACGCGAGTAGAAGCACGAACGAAACTGTCCCCGACCCCCCCGAAAAACCATGTTGGGTCGTCGGGAAGGTTTGCTTTCCGGGCCAACCCCCCCGTTGACCCAACATGGGTTGCAACCGGGTCCTGGAACATTGCCCTCCCGAACTGGGGATGGTTTGGTCACGATGCGGGTGCCAAGGGACTCTTCTCGGGCAAGCACAGTAGCACACCGATGGCCAGGAACAGGGCCACTGAGCTGCCCAGAAAGAAGCTCAGCACCAATTCACCTGAATTGCAGGTTTTGAACGTCATTTCATAGTAAATTGTATGTACACATATGTACAGCAATTGTTGATTACCACCCGCAGACCCAAAACTATACTGTACTGTATAATTCATGCATTTATGATCCTGTATGCACATGTGTCACAGGCTTGTAACACGGTCAAGCTTCTGCTGCTGATGTCACCTGCTCACATTACATTTCATCCCAGGACAAAGTGGCAAGGAATGAAGGCGATTTCTTGGTGCTACATTGGTTCAAATCACTTCGATTTCTTGGTGCTAGCTTGGACTATGCGATCCTCTGCCATGTTTGGTACCGAGAAGCTTCGGTGTGATGCTGGCTGTACCTGGGAAGGGCATTACTTTTGGGTGTCTTGACTTGAACTGTGTCAAGAGTGCAAGCCTGAAGCATGAGCACAAACCATCATACAACTTGGGCAGGAGTGCAACTGACAAAGCCCTCCAACTCTCTCCCGGCAAGGCAGCAGCACGGAGATCAGAAGTTGAGACTTTCGGACTGTCTGGCTGTCATTCGCGGGAGGGGTAGGCCGTGAAGACAGGGTAACTTTGTAGCTACTGAAGACACACTCTGAGTAGTAACAAACCCTGTGCATAATCGATGTGGTTCCTAGATTTGTCTGGGAAATCACCTATTTTGCTGCCAAGTTTCAGTCAGCCCAACAACCCCAGTTCGTCCTAAACCAGCTATCAAGCGCGCCACCTCTGGGGATGCATCCTTAGCGCAAAACGCCTCCGGACTTCAGTGAAAAGAGCCAGAAAACGCCGCTGGCCTTGCTCCAAGTCAAAACAGTACAGTACAGCATCTATTATAATCCCAAACTATTCCACACTTATATAGCCATTTCTTCCTGCAAACACATGTTCTGTGGCTGCATCAAAGGGGTGCAAAGCAGCTTGAGCATAAACTTGTAAACATTTCAATATATTTGGTTGCACTTGAAATTGCAGCTTGACGGCGATATCCTCCGTTTTTGAACCTCAGTGAACAAGGGCCAACAGCCCTAACATAAACAAAACACAGCCTTACATAGCCAACCAAAGCAACCCATGCACCCTTGGAGTTGCAACTGTTCAGCCTGGCGACTTGCGGAGGAGAGCTTTTTGAGGTCCCGGTCCAAGGCATCAAAGCGCCCGGTCTCATTTAGCCGTGTTGCCTTCGGTTCAGGAGGGAAGGTCAGAGGTAGCTAAGTAGCGAAGTGAACGAAAAGCGGGCATCAAAACGCTTCTCCCGGATCTTGAGGGAAACTCATGGAAATTAACTGCACCAAGAAATGCATGCCAAGCGTCCTTCACCAAGCGGGGAAAGGCTTCACTGAGGCCCTCTTTGCTCACCAGTTGCTTGTCATGCTTCCTGAGCTATGAACAAAATTAGCAACCTTCATCGATGCCAAGCCTGTGAATCTTGAGCCCATTGTCATTAACATTGTCCAAAACCCCATTCCCTTTAGAGGGCCGCGCTCCCCCCAAAAAATTATGCAAGTCTCTGCAACGAATTGCCTGCACAGGCGTATGCTTTGGTCCCAAACATGTGCAACATGCACGTTGTGTTTAGCCTGTTCCTTCTCTATATCTCCCTCTTTCTCTTTCTGTGTCTCGCCCGTTGACTCCACCTGTTTCTGCAATTCTCAGCAGCTTTCCAAATACATGGAGTTCTGACTAAAACTGATTCAAAATGCGCTGTCGCTCAGCCCATCCTGTTCTGCGATGATCGTCTCAATGACTGCGTTACCTCCTCCCACACACAAGGATCTATCATGTACGACATCCCCAGTGCAAAGCAAGCAACTTGAGGATCTTGTAAAGAGCCTGTCCAGGCATGCTCTATGGATGGCAGTTCAGGTTACGTTGTTTTCCAGACTGGTTGTATCGCAAGCGCTTGTCAACACTACCCCAGTTTAGCTTCATCTGCCTTCTTTGTTCCATACTCAAGTTCAAAAAAACCCTTGGGCGCTTCATGATGGGACAGCACATGATCAGCACAGGCACCAGGAAAAACATCGCGATTGTCTGTGTCACATTTGGCACACTACCACTTTTTCATGTGCACACTCCGACTCAATAACATGGAGCGGAAAAATATCCTGCTGTGAAGAACATAATCCGGAGTATCTATACCAAAAACCTCTGCCCAATAAATAAATAAATTCAACACGAAAGCTTGGAATTCACAAACCCGGAAAGCCGCAAAACACGCACTTGTTTTGACAGAGTCGGATGGACCTCCTACCGGCTGTGCCAGGGAGCTTCCCTGGCACAGACTTCCCACGAGCGTCGCGGGTGCACCTCGACTGGGATGCGTCCCGCCTGTCAGGTGAGATTCAGGGAGGGGGGGGTAGGGAAGCTGAAGATCACCTACCCTCGAGCCTCCAAGCAACAGGTGTTAAATACTGTCATGACTAGTCATGAATGCATTCAACACGAAAGCTTGGAATTCACAAACCCGGAAAGCCGCAAAACACGCACTTGTCTTGACAGAGTCGGATGGACCTCCTACCGGCTGTGCCAGGGAGCTTCCCTGGCACAGACTTCCCAACTCCAGTTAGGAGTTCCATCTGCCAAAGAATTTCTTTGACTTTATCTTCCCTGCCTTCAAGGCGGTCTTGGACTCTTTCTTTTTAGCCTTATGCTCTTTGATCTCTTCAAAAAGCTCCTTGCTTCCCTTCAGAAGCTCATCCATCACAAACCACTGGAAATGTTCTTCCCCAATGGCTTCCCTCCGTTGGAGCTCAAACGAACTGAAATCCTCGTTCGTCGAAGCATCTGCCAGCTCGTTTCCGTCCCTGCGTACCCAGGTCAAGGTCGCAAAGGAGTCATATCTCCGGAGCGTCTCGGCAATCTCAATGACCAACAATGTAACAGGGTACTTCGTCGAAAGCCCTTTGCGCAAAATGAATGCATTGCCTCTATTGTCTGTAAAAGCTTCTGCACAAATCTCCGCTGAGTCTCCAGCACCCCTCAACCAGAGCTTGAGGGCGAGGAGGGTAGCAAGCAATTCAAGTGCAGCAATGACCCTTTTTTGGATTCTTCCCACGAGAAAACAACCAAGGGGCAAGTTCTTCAGTGACCCGAATTGAAAACCACCGGCATTTCTTGCTATCACTTGCCTCTTCAAGCCATCCCCCGATCCATGCCGCTTGCTCTGTTGCTTTAGCATCGGTCCAGATCCTCAAGGAGTTGCTATCGCATGGCACAGGTTGTCTCACGACCTCCAGCCTGCCCCCCTTCTTCAAGCCTTCTTGCTATCCAGCTCAAAATGAATTGCACGGCCCATGGGATCGTCAATGCACCCTTGTTCGACTGGATCGCCGACGACCATGCATACAATGGCCCCAGAAAAGGTCTCTCCCATGGCAGGGCCAAAGCTGAAAAGCCTAGCCTCCCCAGACCGGCAGAGAACTCCCGGTAGGTGACCTCCTTGCGGGCCCTCAGAGATTGAATCCACTCAAGAACCCACCTTGCTCTCCTCTCTGACAGACCCATGGCGAAAGTGCGGTAGTCTGTCGTTAGGCCAATCCACTCAGTCACCAGGCCCCCTCTCTGCTTGGCCCACTTGAAGGGGGCCCCAAGTGCAGCCATCAAAGCAAAGGCCAAGACACCTCCGACCCGGCCTTTTCGACCGATTGTCAGGACCTCAAGATCATCGGCATAGAGCAGCATATCATCTGGGAAAGCATCACCGAGAACCCAATATACCACTCTCATCAATGCCGCACTCAACCGAGCCCACCAGTATGGAGTCGAGGCGACTCCAAAGGTCCCGACCTTGTTGACATATACCGTGCTGGAGCTTGACGATGCCTTGCACGCCAAGAAACCTCGCTCCTCTTCAATGTACTTGAAGCGCCTATGCGCCTTGGCAAAGTCACCAACAAGCGAAAGCACCGTCTGCCTCCCGGCCTCATATTCTTCTAAGAGAGCCCTCTTCTCACGCGGCCCAGGCATCCTCACCTTATCACGGCACCTGATCCGGTGATTCACCATGACTCCGTGAGTGCCGTCATGGATCACCCGCTTCTTTCCGGTCACTTCGTCCTCCACCAGAACTGCTAGCGCTGCAACTGCACGGTTCTCACCAAAAGCCTGTATGAAGTCTTCCTCCTCCATCTTGACCATCAATCCTTCTGCTACCTCCTGATCCAAATGCTCAGTGAGGTACTTTTCGTGTTCAGCCGCTGACATGTAGTTCTCCTTCTGCCAGACGGAGCCACTCCAATCCTCACTCTCCAGGTTCCACCGAAGTTGTTCCTCGAAAATCATTGGCGTCCGAGGAAGCTCATTCAAGATCCCCAGCGGCAGGCCTGTCTTCGCCTGCTCTAGGAAGCCCCCATCTGGGTCTCCGGCCTTCTCCAAAACATCCTTCATGAGACCCAGGTAGAATGGTTGCCCCTCCTCCGGGCTCTCCTGCACCTCCACACCAAGGTTTTCGGACAAAAGGGCCCTGACCTTCCCCAAGAACTCCTCATCCTTTACCAGGCTGAAGGCATCCCCGCCTTTTGCCATTCGAAAAGCCTCCTTCTCAAGCTCCGTCAAATTGCCCAGCTTTGCCACCGCCTCCTGCTGCAATTGCTGTCTCAGCTTTGCCCACTCCTCACCTTGCAAGATCTTCCTCGTGCCAGGCGTCCACCTCCCTGGGGAAGCAAGTCCTCCTCCGTCATGATATGGCGCCTCCAAGCCCTTCCATCTGCAAGAGCGGGGGGGCCCTCTTCCTCCCGGAAAGATCGGATTCATGGGGTCAACCTCCGACTTCATCTCCTTCTCGTGCTGGACCTTCTGCCGTTTCTTGGCTGCCTCTTGTCCCCCTTCATCTGGACTCCTCTTCTTGTCCTCTCTGCCACTGCAAGGTTCACCCCCCCCCAGACACTCTTGTAAGAAGGAGGTGAGGATCGCTTCAGCGGTCCACTTGCAGAGGGCTGGCGGCCAGGCTGCTGAATGTGCTGTCTTGAACACACCATTCTCCTTGCCAATCAAGGGAGCGCCCCCGGATTGCCGTGGCAAGGGACCTGAATACCAGCCCTGATCATCAAATTCGGGAGGACCTTCATGCATTGCTGGGTGAAGTGGTGCAAAGATCCTCATCAAAAATCTCGTGGGTTTGGGGGGAGCTTGTCCCAAACTCTGATTGAGCGAAGACCACTGTCTGTACCCCGTCCACTGTCAACAATTCCTCAAATTGCCAAAACTGCCACATCGATGCTGGCTGATGCCCTGTCAACCTGGCGTGCCTTGTTCTGCCCAAATCCTCTGGCTGCTCCATGAGTCCAACTGTACGTTTGCATGCAAATTGACGCTTCAATGCTTCAAATGAAAAATCTGCAAGAACCGTCCCAAATTCTGCCTTGTGAAATCTGTCACCTTTGTTCCACGGGAAACCTCTCGGGAAAGTCGAGCTCCTCAACGGGAATGGCCCCAAATCATTAGCCCAAACCGCTCGCGAGAAAGTGGAACATGGCGGAGTGACAATGACTGCATAAAAGATGCCTTTGGCAATCAGCTGCAACCATTTCTTCTGAACTGTAGGAAGTGTAAAATCTGACTTGCGATCGGATTGGATGTCCAGTTCTGTGATTACCACCTGAACTCCTTGTCGTTGCGCTAGCCTCCGGAGGAACCCCGCAACGGAATTGCGTCTCTTCCTGCCAGAGAAAACGTATAAGACTCTCAAAGTCCTTCACTTGCTCCCGACTGTGTCAGGAGGTACAGCCTCTTTGCGGTTCTTTGGATTGCATTCGTAAAGGGGATGACGATCGCTGTAGCAAATTCCGCAGACATGTTTGTATTTGCATTTGCTGCTCTTGCATTTCTCTCCAGGTGTATTGTACCTGAAGCAGATCATCTCCCCCTCTGGTGTGTGGGTAGCGCAATGCGGATTGCTGCCCTTCCCTTTCCCCTTCTTGGCTTTACCCTTCTCTTTGCCCTTGCTCCCTTTCTCTGTTGATGGCCACTTTGCAGGCTGTTGCTCCCTCCATGGAGGTGTTGGCCTCTTTGCATATAGAGCCAAGGGCGTTGTGAAGTTCCTCTCCTTGATGGTGGCGTCCTTCCAGGCCGTCTTGAGCGCAACAGTCAGTGGCTTGCCCTCCGTGTTCGTGATCCTCACTGCTTGCTTCCTGATCGCACGCTCATATGCCAGGACGAGCTTCCATGGCGGCGATGCAAAGGTCTGACCTTCAGCGTCCTTCGCATTCAGGCCGTAGACGAAGTCACCGAGGAGGTAGTCCTTATACTGCTCGACTGCTTCCTCCCAATTGCCTTGAAGCTCATGCCTGTTCGAATGCTTCAGCGAAATCATGACCATTGCGTTCTTCCATATTGTCAGCCGTCGACGAAGTTCTTCAGCGTTTGTCGGTTCTTCCACTTTCGTCGACCCTCGACGCATGGCCAATCGGCCCTTGGAGTCCCAAATGGGCACCACGGAATCGGGCTCAATCTCCTCTTTTGACATGACCTCGGTCAGCTCTTCGGCACGGTATTCACCGTTTTCAACCTCGGCCAACTTCTTCTCAACAAATTCCTTGGAGGGGTAGATCTTGTCATCTAAATGCCCGTAGCGCTTCTCCAAAGCCGAGCGCATAGCTGCCCATTCCCCGGCCACCACGGGCCTGGACCACTGGAGTGTGTCGTACTCCGCATCAACCTCGGCCGCTCTCTGGCTCCTCGTCTTGGCGTTGGTGAATGCACAGGTGATTGCTGCCACCTGCACTCTCTCCTCAAGCGTCCTGCTTGCATCCAACTCCCAATGATCCTTGAGGACCACTGCCAAATCATCACGGTCCTTGGCGAAATTCGATAGCTTCTCCAGGGTCGTCACACCATGGTGGTAGAATAACTTTTGGTTCTCAAGGGTCACCTCATGCCTTGACAACAAGTATTTGATGTCCGCGCCAGCCGACTCCAATGCCTTGTTCCCCTCATCGTCCGTGAGAGACGCCCGCGGCATGGTGAGCCTTCACGCCCACGGCCCTGCACCCTTCCCTTTTGAACCAAGGAGCAAGCAGCAAGCGATGCTGTTCTTGACACTGCGGTGCCAACCGTGCATGCTATGCACATGTCTGTCCACATGCGATGCGACAGTGAATCTTTCCTACCGTGCATGCTATGCACCGGTATAAACACATGCGATGTGCTTGTGCCTCTCTCTGCTGAGGTGCGACCCCGCCTCTTCGCCCACTGGTGATGCTCCGGCACTTGCTGTGCTCCGTCCCGCAGCCTGAGCGGCTCGCCCAGGGCGGGATGTCTCTACCTCCTACCAGTGTGCCTCCCCAGGTGCGACCCGGGCCAACCCTGCATGCTCTTGCGCAACACCGCCCCTGGGTGCGACCCAGGGTGTTCCACACCTTTCCTACTTACTGTCCGCGCCCCGGCAACCTTTTCTTCAGTCGCTGAGGCCCAGCTCATCCTGTGAATCACTTGTGGACTCACTGAGCTGTTCGTCTCCTCCACTCCAGCACAGCTTGCATCGGAGTGTGTACTCCTCGGGCTCCGGGAGATCCTTATGCGTCTCGGACCTCAGGAATGCTCTCTTCCTTGCCATCCAGCAGCCCTTCTCACCAAGCCGGTGCAACGTTCCCCGTCCAGCGCGCCTATATACAACCACATAGCCTCCTTCTCTCTCCTCTTCCAGCGCTTCAGACATCCTCCTTCTCTTCGCACCTTTGTTGGCCGTGCCACTGCCTTCCTTCTCGCTCTGGGATCCATCATAGATCGTAGTGTCCTCATCCGACAGTTGTATCGGCGCTGGACGGACGCCCTTTGCTCCAATCTTCTCCTTCCAGGCTTCGACAACTCTGTCTGCCTGGTCCTCAGGCACTGTCCACTTCTCATGTAGCCAGACCTTCAACTCTTCCAGAATGGAGCCCTCATCCAAATCTCCATAGGCTGTCTCACTGCGAAGGACCACCGCAATCCTTTTCTGCATCTTCTTGACAATGGCGTTGTAGGTCCTGACATATACGTCAGAACCTTCTGGGCACCACCTTCCCAACAGGTCGCGATCTGACTTGTCTACCCCCAGCGCCGCAAGGCCGCTAGGCAAGGTTGCCCTCTCACTGTGCTCAGACCAGAATCTCTCCCATCCGGAAGGGATAAGCCGGCCATTGTATCCCTCAAGCAATGCAAGCGTCTTGGAGCTGCCTGCAACTGCCTCGGCATAGGTGACATGCGACGCACCGTACGCTGTACCATAAAAACAGCCCTCCGGGAAAACGTATGTGCGATCCCTTGGCATCTGCAGCTTCACAAGGTCAAAGCCAACTGCCAACCAGTCCTCATGGACAACGTACGCTTCTTTTGCAATGTATATTGGAAGTTCTCGCACACGCTTTCCAGCACCAGTTGTCTTTGATTGATGCATCATCC